TGTATATATATATATATATATACACACACACACACACACATATATATATATATATATATATATGTGTGTATTTCCAAGGAAATATATCTTCAGTCTTTCAGTTCCAGATATTTCGTAGCTCTTCGTGCAATGGTTTAAATAAAGATCTACTCATTTTTATAAGTTCCAATTATATTTAAATCATATTAGAAATTAAAAAACTGAAAAAATTACGTCAAATAAATAAATCTGCAATTTATAGCTACAAAACTTTTCTACGGATAACATATAGATATTCTAAAATTACAGCAATTTATAATAGTTGGCAAACTCTTGATCAATTTTAAAACACAAACAGTTCGCGATGGCATACTCGATGAAAAGAATCGAGTGTTTAAAGACAACATTTAGAGTCGAGATACTCGAATCTGGCATTATGTCTTTTGGTTACAGAGATTGTCTGGTACAGAGACGGAGGGAGGGACCAAGCCGACCGATCGACCGAGGTTATCAAGAGAACGCAAGTAGATAACGTCGTTGCGCTGGTCGCGCACTTCGGCTGCCGTCCTCAAACTGCCACACGTAACTCGTGCGGCGACTCCGACCGCGTTTCTCTCCCTCTCGCTGACCTGCGGCGATCGCACGTACCGGAGTGCGCGACCGGTTCGAAGATATACGGCGAACGAATATCCGGAAGGGGCGGTCTGGAATTCTGGACTCTGTCCGAGCGATCGTAGAAAGGGAGAGAGCGCAAAGCCGCTTTCCGCCTTCGTGTATGCGGCACATACACACGTAGAGAATGCGCGACCTAACAAACAATCGCTACCGCACGGCATTGAGAGAAGTAAAACCGAGAACGCAGTCTGAAATCGAAAAATCTATTTTTGAATAGACTTCGGAGCGCGCCATCTCGACCGCTCCAGATAAAAATTTGTCAATTTTTTAGCCTCTTACGATTTTTTATTAAACAACGGTACTATTGCACTAAAAATAAAAGAATCCTCATCCCTAATATAATCGGTATAGCCGTACGATTGATCGTATTAGCATTTTATAAAAAATTGCAAGCCCAAAGAATAAACTGTTTTCTGAATTTTTAAATTTGTGTGTACCACAGCATTTGTACGAGAAGACTTATACCATTTGGTTATTGAAGGTGTATTATGCGTTTTATTTACTCACCGTAGCTGCCATGAAGAGATCAAGGGCGGCTTGGAGAGCAGCAGCTGAAGCTTCACTGCACAAGCCATAGCCAACTCGTGTTGCCTTCTGACATCCTGCAAAAATACAGAACAATAATTCTTTATTAATGATACACGAAGACAAAATCAAATTAATAAAGTACTTGAAATAATTTTAACTACGTGTTCAAAGTGTATTCAAAAACGTTTATTTTATTCCGCGCGAAAAACGTCGCAAAGTATATACTCAAAAATATACGCAAGAAAAATTTTCGCGCAGAAAGTGTAGCGAAACGCGAGCACATATCTGCGTTATGGTATATACATAGTAAATTGAGGAATTCAATTTCGTGCGTACAATATTCGACGTGAAGAGGCCGCAAGAGTGGCATTTTTGTCCCCGGGGCAGCAGCGCTGAAACATGATTTCGCAAGACTGCACGAACCCGGCAATATAACGCAATAAATTGCGCGAGAGGTGTTTCAATTTTTGCAAGTGACTTTTACACAAGTACACTTCGCTTGTAAGAGTTAACGAATAAAGCGAGGGACATACATACATAGAGCGTATTAAAAGCGTCATCGCTGGTTTATTTACCGGGCGGCTTTTCGATATCGGAAATCGCGATTTTCCAGAATTTCCCGTCACAATCGCCCTGGTCACTCCCACGAGTTACACAACCGTGTCGTTGCACGGGAATCAATTTCAGGGATTCGGTAGCAAACGAACGAGGATACATCCGACGCAAGAGAGAGAAAGAGAGAGAGAGAGAGAGAGGAGGGGGAGGGGA